TAACTGGCTCGCGCTGCCAGTAATTACGCCGCGGGATATTCAGGGCACAGACTGTGATCATAAGATACCACAAATAGAAAATAGATTTTTAGAAAATAGACTTTCCATGTGAACGAAGCCTTAAAGTTGTGGTATGAACCACATTTGAAATTGTGAAATTATGTATTATATATTGCAAGAAAAATGCAACATTTGGTATCAAGATATTCACACAAGTATATCACCCTTATATAACTAAGTGTGTGTGTTCGTGTGCGTATATATATATATATATATATATATATATATATATATATATATATATCAGTTGGTTTTGCAGGGACCAGCTAATCAATACTTCATGTAAGCTGATTTTCTCAGGCAATTGGGTAATTTCTTCTGACAATTATATCAATACTGGTAATTCTGTTGGGTTATATTGGTATGGTACTGGGTAGTACTTAGCCCTTTTTTATTTGATCTTTGAAAAAAAAGAAAGAGCTGCAACTGGTACTTTGTGTTGTTTTTTTCAAGTGATTGTTGCTATCTGGAAGTACTAATTGCCCAACTTGATTATATTTTCCAAAATATTGTTTTTGTGTATTGTTTAATGATCTAAATTTATCTCATCTATAGGCCAGATCTTTTCCCTCTGAGTTTTTCTTTGGATAAAGCTGTTGCATCGAAACATTTACCAAAATCTATATCTACTGTATCTTGTGGAGCTGCTGTGGGAGAGTGTAAATTTCATCTGCCTTAGTGAGATAAGGTTGTATGGTAATTCTTCTCTATAATTGAGAGTGATGATACAGTTTACAAAAACATACACAGTGGTACCATATCTTTCTTTGAAGGTATTTGCATTTAGGTTAATAGTTCCTTTTTACCTGTCAGTAAATTAAGCTGTTTTTCACAGAAAAGTGAGTTCTGCTTTTACAAAGCTTCTAGTAGTTTCTTTTTTACCTTGTCGGCAAATTGTTATGCATTCACAATTTAAACTCAGTTCAAGGACATGAGGCATGCAGAAACATAAGATATCAGTTTGTATAGACCTTTTTCATCTTATCCGGAAATGGAAATTGCATTGTGGGTAGGGGAGTCCTGATATGTCGAAACACTTACAGTGGTGCTAAAAACCATGGCTGGATTTACGTGCTTTTTGTCCCACTGCTAATATAACAGTAAGCGAGATCGACACATGAGGTTTAATAAGTTCCCAACAAACCCGTTAGAATGAAAAATATGGTAGAAAGAAAGGAAAATATAGCAGGTTTGAATCAAAAGCAGGGCACCGTGTTTGCGCTGAACATTTCGAAGGCGGGAAGAAAAACTATAATATTAGGAGATCAACGGTGCTTTAATAAAAAACAGAAATGCTTAGTTAATCAACGGATATAACGAACTATCAGCAAATAGAACACGGGGGTAAACAATGCGAAAAAAAAAACATGATAAAGATCTGAAGAAAAAATTGAAGAATAGGGGTCTAAAAAGAAAGAAAAGACTTTAAGCATGAGATTATGGAAAAAGAAAGTAAAAGCTGTGAAGTTTTACAAGGGGATTCTACTTACAAAAAATTCAAGAACTTTCACGACTTTTTGTGTAACAACAAAGAGAATGTTTGAAAAGTTTTGTATGTAATATCCTTTTTGTGTGTGTTTTATTGATAAGTGATCATTTTAAATGTAGTAGGCCTATCACAGGTTTTAGTCTCTCATAACCCCTTAGTAGGGTGGGTTCTATTTTTTTAACGTGAGACGTTAATAAAATTTTTATTATTATGTATCCAGTCCCGTATACGTATTACTGATTTGTACAAACGGGGCTCATATTATCAAGATCAACAGAGACATACGAAGAAGAAAATACATCGGCTCTTGTTGAACGCGTTGTCGGCGAAATAAAAAGTTATTTATTTCTGAACTGAATGATAAGAGAATTGGAAAATTCAATGGGCATATATTGTTATTTACAAAAAAATGCAGAAAAGCCTTTCTATAAGCTACACGTGCATAATACGTGTATGGTAAAGACAAAATGATGTTAAGAAAGCCAACTAATAGTCATGTTTAGTAGTCTAGAGTGTATATGGGGAGCACAATTATAAAGGGTTTTGGTCTCGCATCAGTTGATGTCACTTAACAAGATGTATGGTAGTCTGTCTGATCTCTTAATTAAAATGGTGATACACATGTATTGGTTGAAATAAAGATCCAGCAATTGTCTATAATTTTCCAATACTTCAAATGATCAAAGCTACAGACAGTGTATATACATTTCTTTAGATAACTATATGATGCATCTGTAAACTTGCAGAAAACTCTACTCCTTAACTTAACCAGCTGGCAAAAAGCCGTTATCCCTCAGAAATTTTTGAAAAGTTAATCACTGTATTACTTAACAAAAGTAAAAAGAAATGATGTCATAATGATGACTGATGTCAAAATGATGTTTTAGATATTGCATGCTCACTTGAAATTGTACCACCATCAGAGGGATTTGGATTCGATTGATGTGGGTATATGGCTGATTGCATCATGGTGATTGATGACACTTAACTTCATGAAATATAATAGTCTCCATTTAAGAAGCAAAATATAGATGAAGGTTATATCCTCAAAGGAAATGGTAATTTATAGAGAATGTGTCTCAGGTAAAGATCAATGAAGTTATCTAATTGATGTAGCTGGGAAAGTTTTTAGAAGGTAGATTCACAAAGGAAAATTGGTTGGTAGAATTGCCATTTGAATGACAGCCTTAGCTAGCTGCCTATTTATCTGGCTTACAATATTATTCAGGTAATTTTAGTGAAAAAAGACGTTTCCTAACTGTGCCAGTCATCCGTCCCTTATGTTGTCATATTTGAATATTCAGTTCAAGATTGAATTTCTTATAGTATAAAACATCCCTTCTGTAGGGTCTCAGTATCAATAGAATTAAGTCTGAGTGTGATTAGCCCATAGGGAGCACATCTAATCCCTCTGTTGTCCCACAATTGCAATAAGATTTTGGAATAGTTGCATTGGTTGGTAAAACATCTCTTCTTTAGGATTTTGGTATCAGTGGAAGTAAGTCTGAATGTGATTAGCTCATAAGGTGCATATCTGATCCCTCTGATGACCCACTACCAACTGCCATAAGAATTGGGATAGTCCCGTAATGTTATATGGGCACCCTATGGTGATTTTATCCTAATCAGGTCTTTTTAGATGAATCACATGGACCACCCAAGTTAAAAGACTTAAAAAGTTGCATGTTTTACGGTCATAAATGAGTGTCTTAATTCACTTTTTGGATGACTTTGTTATCAGTTAGGTTGAAATTGCTTGTCATAACGAGTGTTTACATTCATTGATATCTGTTTGTTTGTTTATTTAGTGCTTACATTTGTCTTCCTAAAAATGTTAGAACTTGAATTTATGTGGGAATTAATTAATCAGAGGAGCTGATAGAGTTGTTAGCAATCAGGAGTGGCAGCTACATGTACAGCTGCTTGTGGGTTGGGCTACTTGAGACAGATATTGATTTTTTTCAGGACTGAGGAGGAAAGAAACTTTGATTCATTGTTTCCTTTTTGACAGCAAAAACTTAGCCAAATGATTCTAATCCTAGCCTTGGCAATAGCAGCTTGTATCAAGTTAAATGTTTGCTCTATGTAGTGATATAAACTAGCCAAAAAAGAAATGCAAGTTTTATGTTTATGATTTTGATATAATTTTTTCATACAATAGCATTGGTTAATATGTAGTATATTGCTGAGTAACATGTGTGCCCCCTCCCCCAGCTGCATTACATGCTATAGTGCCCTCCTCATGCACTGTTCAGACCTCGAATGTGGACCCGGGTCATCCTTCTCAATTCATCCACAAGTACAGCTCTTAACTCTATAGCAGTGGTAGGCTATGGCTGGTGGTTATGAAGTCATCTGCCCAGTTCATCCCAAGCATGCTCAATGGGAGACATGTTGGGACTAAACACTGGCTGCATGCAGAAGTCTGGATCTGCTGCAACTATGTCTGTGTTACCCTGGCAGTATGGGGATGGGTGTTGTCCTGCTGGAGCAAATGTAGGGTTGGGTGTTGATGCATGAATGGCACAACAGTTATCCTGGCCAGTTGCATTTTCACCAATCACTGCAATATCAATATCACTGTGAGTGTCTGGAAATTACCCCTTATGCCTGCCCAAACCATGATACTGTGCCAATGGCAATGGGCAATGACACTACCCCTGTCCAGATCAGATAGCTATGGCATGATGTCAACATGGAATTTGGTCTCCTTAACTTGGTTTTTTTATTCCAAAGGCCACTAGCATTGATTGTGGACAATTGAATTCGATAAGACTTTTGTCCCAATTTGTGTTTCTTTATTTTATTATTATTATTATTATTATTATTATTATTATTATTATTTTATTTTATTTTATTTTATTATTATTTTTTTGTCAGTATATTTGGAACTTGTTGTTCTTGAGTGTGCTTGTTCTGTTCGCCAGGTGCAGATACTAGTGAATTAATGATAGGCAGATTTTAAGTTCATGGATTGTTGGATTTCGTTCAAATATTTTTAACATTATCATCAATATCATCACTCTCCCTCTTTCTGCTCAGAATCACCTGTTATTTCCCTGCAGTATTATATTTCACTTCTTATCCTTTTCAACTGTCACATCTGGTTATGCCTCAGTATAACTCTAATAACTTTCCATTGTAGTAGCACACAGACATTTTTGCAGAAGTTGCCAGTATTAAATTTTACTGAATACAAGGGGCCCAATACAAGTACACTCACATACAGTTTTGCAATCTATAATAAAAATTAAGTTTCTGCACAAGAGTGGGAAGGGGGGGCTATCTTAGAAAGGCCAATTAACAATTTGACTATGGCCAGATGTATTTTATAATACAAATTTAATATTCGAGGGACTTACACATTTCTTTAACGAGTTATCTTTTTCTGCATGAACACTGAAGTGTTGAGTGTTATCATTTTAACCATTCCAATATAAAACATTTGCAGGCTTTGATGAGGTTTCAAGACGACTATGCCAGTGAAGCAGCCCTACGTCCCATCAACAGAGCCAAGAACGCCAGTCCAGAAGTGGTACCACGTAAGTTCTCTAAATGGCTAGGTAAGCTAGCTAATTAATTTTGGGGGTGGTTGAAATGTTACTGGGTTTCTATATAGACTCTTTACCTAGCTATCACTGTCCAGATTCAGATAATGTCACAGCCAGTCAATATCTTAAGCCAGTCACCAGCTCAGCAGGATGCCTCAGGTATCAGTTTACTTATATTCTCTAGTGAATGGTGGTTAATCCAAGGAGGCACCGCTGTAGAATACAGTATACCAATCTCTAATTTCTGTTAACTATTTTGGTTGTCTGTGATGTTTCTGATTCTGAGTGGGTGCCTTGGTCCTGAGCTTATACCTTATGCTCATGTTTTACATGTACAGTTCATATAAACACATGATATAACTGAGCCTTGCTTTGCAAAGATACTGCACTAGAAATCAATCCAAGAACTAGAAATTTGTTCAGGGCTATTTTGACATTTTTAAAATTTTATTCTCTAGACCTTTAATTGGCAAATTTTCTCCTTCCTTTCTTGTCTGCAGTTCACATCCCTGTGTATGTGCCTGTGCATGCATGAGTGCGCGGGTATGTGCACAAAAGTACACATGCACATGTACACACATTTGTATTCAGGCACTCTCAGTTAAAAGAATATTGTACTACGGTAAAGTGCCATGAATTTCGAACGGCTCTTGAATTTCGAACTATCTTAAAATCGGCCGTCTGGAGTTTTTTCTGAACCATGAATTTCGGCCAGTAAGCAATTTTGCGCGATCTTGATTTCGTGAATTTCGTACACCTTAAAATCGGCCACCGGGCTATTCTCGCGCTTGTAAAGATGTAAAGATCAGTCGGCAATGTTGCCCTAGCGTACNTGCCTTGGTCCTGAGCTTATACCTTATGCTCATGTTTTACATGTACAGTTCATATAAACACATGATATAACTGAGCCTTGCTTTGCAAAGATACTGCACTAGAAATCAATCCAAGAACTAAAAATTTGTTCAGGGCTATTTTGACATTTTTTAAATTTTATTCTCTAGACCTTTAATTGGCAAATTTTCTCCTTCCTTTCTTGTCTGCAGTTCACATCCCTGTGTATGTGCCTGTGCATGCATGAGTGTGCGGGTATGTGCACAAAAGTACACATGCACATGTACACACATTTGTATTCAGGCACTCACAGTTAAAAGAATATTGTACTATGTTATTGAGGTCCAATTTGTCACTCATTTGTCTTTTTTTCACTTCAGCCATTTGCACATTAATTTTTTACTTGCACACATCAATTCAAAGCATCTTCATCTGGCTGACAATTTTGACCATTTTATAAAGCTGACATTGACAGATCAGTATGCTTGGTTGCAGCTTAATGTTAAATAAAACCACTGTTAATTGCAGCTTTCAATGAGCTTAGTGGTGGAAATAAGTGAGTTTTCATAATGAATAATTTCAGGGAATAAAAGATATAGAAAACTGATATGGTTCAAATGGAGGTCATTGATTTGCTTGATTTATGATGTGTTTATTGCTCTCACTGCTTTATTACATGCCTGGTGTAGCATCACAGGAACCGTGTGAATTAATATTCCCACACAAGCTTTGGCAATAATGGACGTGGTCAGAAACATTGGTTTTCTGGAAATGCTGTTTTTTTCTTATCAGTTTTTTAAACTGCATGTTTTACTTTATAACTGCACAACCAATTTAAGTTAGAGAGGTAATATTCTGGGGCCTGTTTCACAAAGTTGGCATTAGTTAACAATCGCTTGTTAGCCTCTCGTTAGTTATGAGTACCCTTTCACGAAGCTATCGCTAGTTCTCTCGTTTGTTATTGTCTCGTTGTTAACATGGCTATTTAATTAGTGGTCAGACCACTCACAAACCCTAGAGTTTTACCATACGCATGCATAATAAATGAAATAGAAATAATGCTTATAGTTACTGTTTTCTGACATCTGTCTTTGTAAGCAAATGGCGGCTTTTTTTCTTGCCATCCTTGCCGCCAGACAGCAACGGAGACTACGACACTTTCATCAGAGGCAGAATATATTAGAATGTATGAACAATGGTGAAATTTATGAAAGGATCCACTTATCTGTGACAAGAAAAGCAGTAGAAAGGGTGACTGAGATCCTTTACGACGACCTCATAGTATATGTTCCTTTGCAGTCCAAGTGGCAATACATTAGAGAAACATCATTTGAAAATCGTTAAGTCTTCTGGTTAGCGAGATAATTATTTTGTTAATTATTCTAGCTAACGGCAGCTTTGTGAAATGGGCCCCTAATTCTTCAAGTAGTATGTTATTATAGAAGTGATCATGAAACCCATGGGGTCACTGATACTCATTTCCATGTTGAAGATAGTAGGATTGTAACTTAATAAATTCATCCAATATTAGATTTTTTTCTTATGTTAATCAAAGTTGTTGTTGAAGTTTTTACAGCAGACACTTCTTTTCTAGATGACTTCAACCGTGTTGTGTTGGAACCATTGTCAGATGATCCTGACACAGAGTACATCAATGCTACCTATATAGATGTAAGTTTTTTATATAATCTCTGCATTGATATAATAAAATGAGCTCGATTAAATCATTTTGGTATTTAATAAATTGTTAGGTAACCAAACCTAATAGTAACAGTACCAAAGCTGAAACCAAAATTGAATTGAAATTTATTTGAATTGTTGGAAGTTAGAAGTTTTCTATAGATTCTGAAATATGAATTTATAGTAAGTTTATTTTTAATTTTCAGGGCTACAATAAAGCCAAAGCTTACATTGCTGCTCAAGGTAATTTTTTGAATAGCTGTTTGCTAATTTTACGTGAAATTTCTATCACAATAGAAAACATGTTTTAGAATGATAAGATATGATTAAGATTGTACACTTTTGAGAATGTGTTATGTTTAAGCTCGTGTTTTCTTAAAGTTATTATCCTCCTTTAGGACCTACCCAGAAGACTGTTGGAGACTTTTGGCGCATGGTATGGCAGGAGCGCTCTCATTGCATTGTAATGACAACAGGCTTATTTGAACATGCTAGGGTAAGCATTCTTTATTACTCTGGCTTGTAAGGTGTGTTTTCACATTTATAATGTTAAACCAGTTATATGGTGCCAGTAACTGGTATTTTTTTTGTCAGACCACTACATCCTTAGCATTATTGGTCTGTATTTGAGCATTTTTGAAACAATTAGCCTACAATAAACATAATTGACACACTAAATTAACTACTGTCACCACCAGGAGTTAAAATGATATCAAGACAATTACAATTTGGTCAGGTTGAAAAATCGGGTAAGCAACCTTTTTATGCTTTTTAATATTAAATTTAATTAAATTATTAAATTGAAATTTTTTATAAAACACAAATTAGCTAAGGTTCTCATATCAGTCCATGTGCACCTTTTTCTTAAAATCTTGATATTGCAATCAAATTTCTTCCAGAAATGCAACGAAAAATTTGTTTTTGATGTCATTGAGGCTAAGGCATTCTGTTTATCATAATAATATTAAGAATTTATGGAAGGGGAATGTTATTGTAAAATAAAAGTAATAGTCCATTTGCTTAAGTGATAGAACATATGCATGAAAATGATGACAAATAGATGAAAAACATTTGGTTAACCTTGTAGTGATAATAACCAGAAAAGACCTCATCTATTTCACAGCTACAGTAATCTGATTTATATCTGCGTAGAGAGAATGGAGCTGTCCCAGGAGACCTTGTGATTCATTAGCTACTTCCTGCGTTACAGCAAATTTGGTTTGCACCCCATAGGAATAGTGACTTATTGAAAAATGGATTGTGCATGATCACCCGTTGCAAATGACTTCCAGTATATGTACTAATAAATAAGCAATGATTTTAAGACATGAACTGAAATAACTACTGAAAAAAATGCAGGGTGTGTAATCTGCAGAAAAAGAAATTCGTCAAAAGTGCATGAGTTTGATCTCTCTCTCTCTCTCTCTCTCATTTTCACAATGGCCATTTAAACTTAATATACTTTGTTTGCCTCACTTTTCTGGTTTGTTTGTTCATTAATTTGCTAATTTAATCTAGCTACTATATTTAATTCTGTTATATGGTAGTTTAGTTTTTTTGTAGATTTATTTAAGGGATCATTTAAAGTCAATTTTCACAACAAATGATGACCAAATGCCACTATGTATTTTCAAATTGTGTAACTTAGAGAAATACCTTAAGACTTGTTTTATATTACGCAAAAAATGGTATTTTAATGGATTTTTCTGCTTGCTTTCTGTGCTATTTATAAACAGGGCAGATAAATATGTCAGATTTACTGCCAAAAATTTAAAGAAGGTGTGGTCTAAAGGTCTTTTATGGGCATATCGAGTGATTTATTTGATTTATCCCATTGCATGTTGACTTTATTTGACTTGCATGAGAGGGTGTGCTTTTATAAGATGAGGGTTTGGTACTGGGAAGGTCTGCTGTTCGATAGGTCCACTATTCCGAAGGTACAGATAGAGTGCAAACAGCACAAAGAAAACAAATTATATGTGCTTCTTTGGGTGCATTCCCAGAGATTTAGATCGATCCAGAGATTTAGATTTAGATCAACCTAACTCCCTGGGGGTTCACGCTAAATTGCAGTCAGCCGAGCGCGCACCATAGTTAATTACCCTCTTACAGCTTTTAGTAGGCGGAACTGACTAATCTAGTGAGACTCCCCACAGGGATAGACCGATCTAAAATCTATGGGAATGGGCATGGAGCTAGGTCAGTGCCCTGATTATGCTACTAATAGTCAACTTGTTTAAGTGCAGCTATCGCATCAATAAACTTTTTTTAAACATAAAGCTGCATCTGTATAAAAAACTAGTAGAAGTGGTATATATGTGTGTTACTGAGAAACCACGCTTCACCAATGCTCGCTTCAAATGTACCTTTAATCATTGTTGCCATTAACTTAGCTGACATTTAACCAGTTTGTTACATGTGAGTAATGCCTTTTAGGAAATTAGTATTCATTTGTAACATAATGGCACAAGCATATTTAAGATATTCTCATTTGAGATTTACCCACTCTATTTATCAGTATAGGATGCATTTTGCCAATAAAGTAAATGGCACCATCACTTGTGTATCAGGCTGTCATTATTTGAACAGTCTGGAAAACTGGCTTTTTTTCCTTGTATATAATGAGGAGATAGATCAACTTGGGTCAGGATTCATAATTCAGTTTTGAAAAGATAGAGAAAAACCAGCTTTCTGAAGACGTAGATAACCCAATTTAGGTCCCATAGTGCCCTAACTGTCAAAGATAGCAGGCATGTAGATTTTCCCAAATCCCCGTGGTCCATTAACGGAAAATGTGTACTTTCCCTGGCTCCAATAATGCACATCTGCCCATTAATTTGTTTGGCTTGTTGGTTGGTTAAAATGAGGAAGAAGTAAGATTGCGACATTGTAAAAATAGGAAATGGCTTGGTGGGTGGTAATATGGAACTTGGAAGACATTTGTATCCACTTGTGTTTATATTTACATTTTGTTGTGTGTTTGTGTGTGATCTGTGTGGGGTTTTGCCACAAGCTAGCTGCATGCAACACATTAAGCTTCGTTGAAATCATTTGACACATACTGTTCTGATATCTGCAGGTCTTTGATCAGAATTCAACTGCCTGCACCACTTGGTCTTTGTACAAAAATTTAACTGTTGTTTACCCATACTTTTTAATTAATTTTTGAGTCCCTTGTTTGTGCAAACATTTTTGAAAACCTGCTGCTCTATATGTTAGTAGCTGCTGTTTGATTTTCAAGCAACACATCCAAATACACTAACGTGACCCCCCACCCCCCACCCCCACCTAATCTATATTCATAAAGTATGTCGTGTTCACACAATTTTATCCAAGTCAAAACTGTAATATAATAAGGGTTTCTCTTAAATTACTTCATTGAAAATCTTGTGCAACATACATATGCTTGAAGCCATCTCTCCTTGGACTGACCTTGGACTTGGACTTTCCAAACAAGATTTTTGCTTTAGATATGGTTATTTACTTATTTTATTTCTTGACTTAAATTTTACAGCAACAGTGTGAAAAGTACTGGGACAACAAGCAAGTGCGATATGGTGATATTGTGATTCTGCAAGAAGACTGTGATACCTTAGCTGACTTTAATATTAGAACCTTCAGGTTGGTCAAGGTAAGATCAATTACGATAATGGGCATTGTCAGAACTAGTAAGATTTACATATTATGAAAAATTGCTCATGAGATGCAGCCCTTGAACTCACATTAGCACGTTTTCTGGAAAGACAAAGAACATGAAGTTGGTTGATGCAGAAAGATATTATGTCAAATTGAGGATGATGACAGAGGTTGAAAATATACTTCCTAATTTATTTAGAAATGCCAAAGGAGCATTACATGGTCATTCACCTGAGATCTTGAGGCAGTTTCACGTGAAAACTTGAAATGAAAGTAGGTTTTTCACTTTAAGGTTGAACATTTTTTATCTTCTTTGACCTGAGATAATTAAGTCAGTACAGTAAGAAGTCTAAATGAATGGATATGCTATAGGCATGTTTCACAAAAAGCATTAAATTGCAAATGTGTAAGTCTTAAATTAAAGTTACTTAAGGGTGAAAGCATACCAAAATGTTTTAGTGAATGTCAGCTTTTAAGATGTTATTATTTAACTGGTCCTATGTTTTAGACCATGGCATTCCAAAATTTTCAAATTGTCATTCTGAGTCCTTCCTGGATTGATGATCAACCGTTGTCTGATTGCTAATGACATGACATTTCCGTTAGCAACTTCAGATTAGTAGTAATGAAATAAACTGAACTATTATGCATTGACCAGATCTGTTGATAGCTTGTTTCCCACATGTATTTTTCATGACATTTATTTCCTCTTCTTAATTTTTCTTTTTTTTTCTTCTTCTTCTTCATAAATTGAGAAACTACATATAAGAAGTTGGAACTTTATTTTAAAGGTTGTTTTAACCTGACCATGTAGGACCCACCTGGCCAATCCAGGCCAATGTCCATTACCTGTGGAAACAGCTCAGGGAGGGGTTTCTCCTTCAAGTAGTGATAGTTGGCCCTGGATTGATTGATTGATTGATTGATTTTAACATGTACATTTGAGATATTTGCCTTAATATTAGAATATGACTCGGTATTTACTCTCTGTAACATCTTTTCATAAGTGACAAAAAGGGAAAATTCTGAAGATTACAGAAGGGAGATATTTTACGGATTGGTCTTTATATGCAAATAATTTTTACTTACAGTAAAAGAAGAACATCTCTTTCTAATTGTAATTTCTTGCAAGATCATTATTTTTGTGAATGATTCCCCTTTCTTTCTTTATCTCAGCTTGATACAGAAGAGCAGAGAGTAGTTAAACAGTTTCAGTATGCATCCTGGGGAGAAACTGACTGCCCTGACTGTAGCGCCATTTTGGAATTTAGACGTAGAATCAAATCTTTTATGCAAAACAAAAGAGGTCCTATTGTTGTGCACTGTGGGTAAGTTGAAGATGTATTATTATAATTTCTTTTATTTCAATTTTTCTACATACAGTTATGTTGTTTTTTCTGATTATGTAGTTAGCAGTAGCATTCTCTTTTTTAATGCAATGGGGACTTCAATGTTGGTTTGTGTAACTTGTCATTTTTCCTATGATAATACTGAATCCCCTTTTGGAATCAAGTTCTATCTATTTGTTGGATGAAAAAATTCAGTTGTTCAATCTGTACATCATCTTCTTCTTTGAAATGTAATGGCTTTTTTTTCAAAAACAAATTGATGAGATTAATCATTTGCAAAAAAACATGGCTCATGAAATACCCTGAGATTGATTAAACCATTATCACCATCATCATCAAATCACCAGGATAACACCTGTGCCTGTACTCTTGATGCCTTGTGGAAGTTGGTTTTTTTATTCCCAGCAGTTTAGCAATTTTGCTTAATTTTTTTTTCATAAATACCAGAACCACTCTGTGCTTGTTTTGTGTATAGATCATTTATAGTCACTGTTGTTTAATAAATTTGCCAGTTTAAATTCAGTATTAAATAGCTGGTAATAAAGTAGCCTAGCAATACCAGAACAAAAATTGCCGTGATTTTCAGACATGTTTATATTAATATATCTATTCATAGGTCTAAATCAGATTGTTGTGTCCTTTTAAGTATATATCTCTTTATCCTAAACTGAAAAACTCTTGGCCTCAGATAATTCAATTGCTTTTTCTTCAGAATCATATAATCATTCAATCCTTTTGTATAACATAAAGGCCATTTGTCCCCCTTGCAGTAAACATGTTTATAAACCTGCCTTGACTCACAGGACTGAGGCAGACAGGAAATTGACTAGAAACTAAGATCCTGCCCAACGCTGGATGAAGAACTTCCTTAACATTTTGATCAATAAATCTGTGTTATGCTAATTATTGATAACCTTGGGCTTTAAGAAAACCAGTCCCATGTACCCATAAGCTTTGAGTGAAATATTAAAATTGTAACACCTTTTGTACATATGACTTTCGTAGGAGCTGGTGTCTTTGAGCGTTTCAATTCAGGGCATGATTTTATATGATTATGTTCTAAATGACAAAATTGTGAAATAAATGAAAGTAATCAGTATCGTAATTCCAGCTCTGGTGCGGGCCGAACAGGCACATTCCTTGCCATTGACATTGCCCTGGACAGAATCTCCATTGACAACACCATTGATATCTTCAACTCTGTTGTCTATCTCAGGAATAGTCGACCATGGATGGTTCAGAATTTGGTGAGTTCCTTTGAAAATGTTCCAATCTTAGTTTTGATAATTACTGGCTGGTTTGATCTGTAATTTAAATCAGTTGATATTTGCCTGGTGACCAGTTTTGTACTTTTATGAGTATTATAACCATTTTTGACCATAAGCTGTTGAATGTATGTTAATTGTATATGTATATTATTTGTATACAATTTTTGAAGTATGTTTGTTGGTAATTAAAGCAGAGAAAGACTAATTACATACTGAAATATTCATGCCTTTTTTTTCTTTTCTTTTCTTTTTGTCAAACTTGTCATCAAACCCTTTTTAAATCCTCTAGGAAAAAGCCTGGTTTTTATAAGAATTGTGTCAATGATCATTGCAGAAAGTATACTTCTGATATTGAAAAGAACTTTGATCCCAATAAAGACAAATGAGTCAGAAACATTAATTAGTCTGAAGATGTAGCTCAAGAAATGATGCATTTAGACTAATGGTTGAGGTTTGGTTACCAATAAACTAATAAATTGGACTTACTGGGGAATTCTGTCTTGGAAGCTGCCATCTTCAGTCAGAGGACATATTGGGTTGCAGACGTAATGTCCTTCAAGTTATTGGAGAGATTTGCCCATTAATTGATTAAGCAGTTTCTCTATTACTGCTCTTCCTCCGTGATTGTGATTACATCCTGCTGCTTACTCAAATCTCCCCCAAATTTATTAGAAGATATTATGAAATAAGATAAGGCCTTTAAATATGAAGCTTAGCGAAATCTTTAGATTTTTTCTTTATGAACTATTTATATGTGATTTGATGTGTGAGTAGTTTTTTTTTCAATGATATGAGCAGTTGTCAGAGATTGAATTTTCTTGCTGTAATCCACGTTCGGCTGTCACCTTGATTGGATAGAAAACGATTGTCGTAAAATCGCTAAATGATATAAAAACCGGGTTCATAAACTTAAAAACCACCTAGGACAACCTAAGACTGCCACATTAATCCAATACAATGCAAAAATAAACTATAACAAGTGGTTAAAGCCTTCAAAACGAATGTCGTAAAGTCCCCATATACCTCCATAGAGACAATAAAATAGAATAAGCTTCTGAAACAAGACTCGGCCAACTTAAACATAATAATCGAAATAAAATACTGCCGGGCATCGGAGCGGCCTAAAACTTGGCACGCTTACCGCAAATACTGCAGGCTACATCATCCCGTCGCTCGTTTGTAAATTCCGTGCATGGCATACGCACAATCAAACCGTATATCCAAATTCCACCTCTGATGTTTGAATTGGTCCTCTCTAACCTACCATTACGAAAAAGAAGCCATGCCATTGGACAATGCGACCTCTGCGGTTACGTCATTTCCTGAATTGGATTGTAGAGAGGACCAATTCAAACATCAGAGGTGGAATTTGGATATACGGTTTGATTGTGCGTATGCCATGCACGGAATTTACAAACGAGCGACGGGATGATGTAGCCTGCAGTATTAGCGGTAAGCGTGCCAAGTTTTAGGCCGCTCCGATGCCCGGCAGTATTTTATTTCGATTATTATGTTTAAGTTGGCCGAGTCTTGTTTCAGAAGCTTATTCTATTTTATTGTCTCTATGGAGGTATATGGGGACTTTACGACATTCGTTTTGAAGGCTTTAACCACTTGTTATAGTTTATTTTTGCATTGTATTGGATTAATGTGGCAGTCTTAGGTTGTCCTAGGTGGTTTTTAAGTTTATGAACCTGGTTTTTATATCATTTAGCGATTTTACGACAATCGTTTTCTATCCAATCAAGGTGACAGCCGAGCGTGCTGTAATCAGATAAAAAAAATCTTTTTTTTTTCAATCATTAAGCCTGTAATACCACAAAAGCATTAGAATTATAAGAATCATTGTTCCATTGAATAGTGTGACCTTTAAGCAATAGATGCCATGCAAACTGTAAAGCACACACATGCACATGTTCTCTAATAATTTTCCTTTTTATTTCAGGAGCAATACAAGTTTATCTATGAAACAGTTGTCATCTACCTCCAGTGTAAGGTGACAGTGATATCTGCCACAGAGTTGCCGGCAGTGGTACAAAAACTGGCTGTCAAAGATGAGCACACCAAGCTCAATGGATTTGAGAGGGAGTTTAAGGTATAGCCTGATCAAATGGGATGCTGGAGATTGTTGCCTGCTTTAAATAAAGTTTGTACAGTTCTTTTAAGGAACTAAAGACTGTTGATGTTCATATAGCCTGCACCTGAGAGTGTGCAGTCACCCTTCACACACACACACACACACACACACACACACACACACACACACACACACACCTATATTCCTTGTTTTCTGTAAAACCTGTTGAATTTCTCCATAAGAGGTAACCTTTAATCAAGAATAGAAGTTTTTTATTAATCAGTAAATGGAATATGTAAGTTGCAGATGCTTACACAGATATCATGTTTGTTTTATCAACCTTTTATGATCAGCAATATAGTATATAAGTAGCCAGATTTAGTAAAGAAAACAGTGTAGGCTGTATATGAAAAATATGCAGTGAGTCATCCAAAATGATTAGTTTTATTAAATACCATCTAACAACTTTGTAATCCTCAATTAAAGCAGTAAGCTTCAGGTTTAAATTGCATTGGAAAGGAGAAGCATTGTGTTGGAGGACACATCCAACCACCAATGTGGCTAGTTATGATGTGTTAGAGGATATTGAATGCATTTGGAGATGTTATAGATAGTAGTTTAAGAAAACGATTGAGTCAGCTTTTGATTTTTTCCCCTTGTCTTCCTATATTTATTCAATATGTTTAATGTATAGTTTGGATTCCACCATCCACTGATGTGGAGAAATCTTTTTCATGATGTTTTCTTCAAATCATGTGTTCCTTTTGCTTTTCAGACCATGCAAAATGTGGTTCCCAAACTAACAGTAGGGGAATGTGCTGGTGGACATCGGGTGGAAAACAGGAAAAAGAGCAGGGACATCATGCTTCAGCCACGTAATGGAAAATTTAGATAAATCTAGTCTTATTTTACAATATCAATTAACTGTTTTTCCCTACAGTTCTTTAAATTATTTTCCTTTGAAATGATGTGATATTTGCTACGGTAAAGTCTTGAAAATTTCGTCACTTAAAAATTAATTAATATTTTTAATTGTGTAAATCCGACTAATTTTTCAAAATTACCTCTCCCCGACTCCTTGGCATGACGAAATTTTCAAAAATCCGGCCTTTGGGCTTTTATCCTTAGTGACTGTTATCTTTGACCCTCCTATATGGTGGGATATTTTTTACTACTTCCTAAGTCATTTTCTGGTGGTAAATAATAATCTATTTATTAGTGCATCTCGATTAAGTTATATTTAACTTACTGTACCCGAAAACACGTTGAGAATTATTTTCTCAGTAAGAAACATACCTCCTGATAGAGGAGAAGGATCAAGATAAGCCTAATTGCAACCTTGCATCATAACCTGGACGCGACATGTTTAAAAAAAATTACACACTTGGGAAGGTTTGTTGCATGCAGGGCTTTTCCCAGGATTGAGTGTCAGGCCTTCTAAAGTTATCATCTGTAACTTCCTAAAAATTTACAGGGAGTTAAAATAATGATCTCCCGTTGACGATCTTCCGCAATTTAAGTTCCTTGAACTAATATGAAAACTGCATTTTTTTATTGCTTACATCGCGAACAATCTCCTGATGAAGATGTGAAAATTGCCTTTTCGTCTAGCAATGATCGCGAACGATCTCCCGCTGACGATCTTCCGCGAACGAAGTTCCCTAAATTGAATATTCTTCAAAAAGGAATAGAATAAGGGTTTTGTAACAGAAATACAATGTACAAAATTTTCTGACATTTTGCAAATTTTCTATATCATACTGACCATCACTTTGTCTGGCCATTTCAAAACTTGAAAATACTTGGCAACTTAAGGATTTGAAGATCCATATTCTTGTTAACTTGATTTAAGCTGGATGAACTGTTACATACAAATTCTTTTTGATTTTAAATTGTGTAAAATAGCCTTTTGCATAAGTATTCATTTCTTTATTTTTAAGTTCAAGTATGTAACAACACATTGACAGTCATACACATTGTTGCCTGTCAAGGCCCATAGTTGTAGTAGTGAACAGATAGCAATGAGTACTTGTTTTTGGGATGGGAAATTTGATACTCATCTTAGATATTTTTTCTCAGCTGAAAGAGCCAGGCCCTATCTGCTAAGCTTTGAGAGAACAGAGAGTTCAGACTACATAAATGCTGTATATGTTGATGTAAGTATATGAGTAAAACCATTGATAATGTGGGTTTTAACTAGCTGTTAAGTTTTTTTAAAAAAACTGACTTTAAAATGAATTAAATCCCCAAAACAAACAATTTTTTTAACATTTTGAAGAGTCCACTTTGATTGGCCTAAAGATTTTGACTCAGAGGTCATAAATTCAAACAGCCCTTGAGTCGATTAAATATTTTGTAAAGAAATGCTTCTTTAAATGTCAAGTAATTACAAAGGGCAGACCTTTTTGAGATACTATAGTAGATACTCCACCTCTTCATAAAAATATTATTTCTTGCACAGAATGCATACCTTAATAATTGAGGTGTATTGCAAATACCTTTATTTTAAGGAGTTCTTATAAACTTTTGACCAACACCAAGCTTTATCTCCATCTTTCATTGCTTAACAATGCTTAACAGTTAAAAAGATATGGGTTATGATTAAATATTTTTTAAATGAAAATAGAATTTGTCTGATTAAATTTTTTATCTAGGGTTATCGCCACCAACAAGCATTCATAGTCACCCAGTGGCCGCTCAAGTGCACTATAAACGATATTTGGCGTATGGTGTATGATTACCAGATTGCTACCATTGTTTTACTTAATGACATTCCAGAGTCCAGGGTGAGTATGAAATTATTCACCAGTTTAAAAAGAATTTTTTTCATTGTTTTTTTTCTTGCTTTTTTAGATTTATTATTAGTTTTACAATGTCAATGACTTGTGAAACTACAGTGACATTTTCCCCTCTTTACAAAAATCAATAACTCACAGGATAATAAAGGTATAAATATAGATTTGTATTTTATTAAGGTGAAATAGAAATCTGTATTAAGGTGAAATAGAAATAGACTTTTTAATAATAAGAGTAGCAAAAATTTTATTGAATTCTGTTTTTTTTTTCCAAGGCTTATGGAAGATTGGTTCCATCTTTTTTTTTTTTTTTTTTTTGTTCCCTAGTCTAACAGTCCCAAAACCCTGTGCTTTTAAATTGAATTTGTAATTCTATGTCTTTTGTCAGAATTACCCCTACTTCTGGCCAACAAAATTAAAGGAGACAAAGAAGTATGGGCCAGTTAATGTCCAGTATACCTACCAAGACACTGGGCCACATATTAAAACCAGGATTTTCTCTGTTAAGAAGGTATGCTGAATTCTGAAATCTTGTAAAAATGAGAAAGTATAGTATAAACTTTTAAAAAAAAAAGACGTTTAATTACAGATAGAGAAACACTTGTATCAATGTAGGTTTTGTTTGACCCCCATCAGCTATGTGTTTATATTATTTGTTTTTAAAGAATAAAGAGTGAAAATGTGGATCTGAATTAACTCTGCTCCAGATTTGTAATAAATGAGACGATTTTTAAAACAACAACTAAGTGTCATGAATTAATATTCATGTTTACACATGCATATAATGTTTCAAAAAGAAAAACTCAAGGAAGAGAGAGAAATCTCCTGGAACTTTTTGTTGTAAATGTGTGATGAAATATCCCCAGTTTTGTGAATATCCCATTTCAGCGTGCAGTTTACACCAATCTTGATGATCATCTTCTAGAATTGGCAAGTGTAGGTACCATGTTTGACTGTGTGGCAACCCAGCAGCATAGTCTCTGCAGGACATTGCATTCACAACCTTTTTGCCACAATAATAACAGTATAGTAGCTAACCCTAGCTAGTTTTGGTGACTATTTCCAAAAGTACAACATTTTAATGTTTCTTTGTTTTCAGGGGTCTAGTTACAAGGTGAATAGTTCATAACCTGAAATTGGTGGTATTCCGTTAAAACCAGATATCTTCTCTTTACATTGACTGAGTGCTCATAGCATGGGCCTGTTTCACAAAACAACTGGAATTGTTGGTAATGATGATTTGTTAAAATTGGTAGAGCTGACTGTGCCAATTTTAAAAGTTGTTTATTATATTGGTGAATGATATACCAATGTTGATTTATGTGGTTGACATGCTTAAAAAACATTTTTGACTCTACTGTGAGTGAAAATCGGTGGCAGGACAATTACAGTAACTGTTTTGTTTCAAGTGCATATAGCTTTCAGACCCCCTCCTCCGCCGATAAATGAGTAAGAATAAGGTCTTTTTTGTGAAACAGGCCCCAAGTCTAATAGTCCCAAAACAGACACACTGATGTCACCAGATATAAAGACTTCACCAAGACCACCACATTGCTGTGGGATTGTGAATTCCACAATATGGTTTTGCTTATGATTTCAGGCAATCCTCTCCCATCTAATGCTATCTCTCTGTGTGAACATGCCTTTTTGTTCAGTGGTGCTTTAAACAAACCATTACCTGTATGAAATTCATCAAACTGAATATGATATAAAATCTCTTTGATTTGCTGGATATACCCATGCTTTTGGCAGAGAGAGATATTAAGGTTTCTGCAACAAACAATGCTTCTTTAACCTACTGAGACTGAGACCAAGGGAGGTTTTTTCACCTGAATTGCTCAAAGAGCATGGTGATGCCAGACCTGTCTGGACATATGCTGTTGTTTTAATATGTTAACTTATTTGCTGAATATCCCTGGGTGAGGTCTGTTGTGGTTTTATCTTCCCTTAAGGTTACAGCAATGAGAAAACTGCCTAATTAATCAATGTACAGTATGATTAAAAACAAGTTTTTTTTTAAAATGATAGCCAAATAAATACAATGATATTCAGTTTTTTTTTTTTTTTAATAATTTGGGAACCTTGTTTAAAGCACAACTGGCATTACCTTTCCTTTATGCAGGGATCATTGAGTAAATTTAAAAGCACAATAACTCAAATGTATTCCAATTTGCTGTATATATTCATATATGTTTATGATGAGTGTTTTGCCTACTAAAACATATTGACTAACTTGGAAATGAATTCTTAGATGACATAACTAAGCCCAACACACCTGATCTTCATAAACATGATGCACAAAAGAAAACTTTTTTCTAGATCTTGGGATAAAAATAAAAATGAAATTTGCACATGTCCATGTGCAAATTGGGGTCAACTCAAGAGATGAAAAAACACTTTTGAGTTTGTATAAAAATAAATTATCACAAAAAAAACACTTGGGACAAAATAAATTAATGCGTGTATGCGCACACACAATTTTAGTTTAGTGTGCATATAGTATATGTCCAAACCCCCTGCCCCCGAAAAATTGAATCAATGAAAATATTGAACGAAGGAAATAAAACATTTGCATGCAGATTAACATGTTTTATAACAGTGCTTTGTTGTATATCTTATTGCTCAGCACAATTTTTTTAAGCCAATTCATTGGCAAGATCATAGGCATCATGAATAGTCTGACAAAATAATGATCAAAACAATTAAGTAAAATGCAAGGACATAATATTTTTTACAAGCAAAGAATTTGGTTTTTGTTAACTAATGGTAATTCCTCAATCTTTTCAAAAATAACAAATCTTCAGATACAGAATTTCATGATCACAAAATTTTATTTCTATATAGAATTTGTGGTGCTTTTACTGCATATAATAGAACTATAGAGCAGCCTGCTTTTTAATTTTGTTGCTACCACTCAATAAAAATGTTCAGATTTTTAGAAATTATGACTCAAAAATACATTATCTGTCAAATTCACAATTTTCCTCCATTACAAGATCGAGTAATTACCATAATCTGTTTTGTACATGTAAGCTGATGTTTTCAGTCACTTCTAACTACAACATATGTCTGTTTCATCAATGTTTCCAAAATTAAACTCCTGTCACTCCATATTTATTTCAGAGAAGGGTTAAAAAAATAGACATTCAGCTTCTGGCTCAGGTATAAAACCAATTTGTGTTTTTATGATATGATATGATATGATATGATATGATATGATATAAGTCTTAGGTTCTGGCATTTGAGAAATAGTTATCCCCAGCTCGAGGCTGAGGGCATGTCCACATAATCAAGTATGTTTGGGAAAAAAAACTGCATGTTGGTGCTGATGCAGGTGTGTTGATGATCTTTTTACTAGTTGCCTGCCAGGAATAGGTATCAGAATGTTTCTTTTGGTAAAGGTGGGGTCTAATAAATTGCTTTTGGTGCCAGGGAATGTGTCCTAGGCCTGTCTAAGACATGTCTTGTTGTAATAGATATATGTTGAGATCTAAGCTTCAGAGCCATCTGCCTAAAGACTGAATATATCAGAAGCCTGGGTTGTTTCAAGCATGTCTTGATAATGAGGTGCATGAGTGATATGACACTCCTGTGATCATTTTGTCCTGTGTTTTTTTCCTGATAAAAATTTTCATAGTAAAAACAAAAAAGACACATTCATAATCATCTCACAATAAAATTGGATGTTTATTTCTGAACGGCAATGATAAGTAGAAAATAAAGGATCTAGTAATCTAGTAGGTGTTAACATTAACATTTATTCTTTCAGGAGTTTTGTTTGTAATTAGTGCAAAGATTGCAATAATATTACAGAGATGAGATATTGGGCATTTGATTAATTCTTAACATTGCGTATGTCATATACTTCTTAACATTGCATCTGTCATATACATGAGATAAATCATTAACATAAAGGTGTCTTTTATTTTCTGTTAGCTGAAAGTATCCTGTTGTAAGGCAGTAAGAACCAATTCTGTTATTTCTTTGGCTTTATTCACTGATAGAGGAGACCAGTTCATTTTTTTTCCTGCTTTTTGAGGACCCGAGAGTTAGGGATTGGGTTCCAATTTCAACCTCTAGATTGTGCGTAGACTATTTGTGTGTAACCTATTTGCTGTTTGACTTTACATTAATAGAGTTGTAGCTGCCTTTGTCTTCTCATGCTAAATTTCACTATACCAGATCTAGGTCTGAATTACTTCAGCAGTCCTACCTCTATAATCAAACAAACTATTTTTTCCATTTTTTTAAATATATGTCTAAACAATATTTTTGTAAAGAAATTGTGAAATAATGCATGTCAACATCTTGATTATAGCTGGAATGACATATGTCATATACAGTAGAGCCAGTTAAAAATGAACTGTCAGAAGGGTGTTGGATAGTCTACTCAGATCTCTTGGTTGAAATTAGTGCATGTTTTGCATTAAAAGATATTCTGAGTTGAGAGATCGTGCAATTCCAGTGGGCATACAGTGTCAATTTGACATCAGTTTTTAGTCAAGGATGTTGTAATCTCACTGTTTTTTTTTTTTTTTATACTTGATTTTATTTATGATTAGGGTTATGTTTAGATATTTTGTTAATTAAGAAAACTGTATCTGATGTTTTTAATCACTCTTCATATTTTTGGTGGTATTAATGTATGTTTTTGAATGTTTCAAACAGTGGATTTGAATTTTGACAGTTGATAGCTTAGATTGAAAATGAAGATGCATTTCACAATCTGGTTTTTATTCACTTGGTTTCTATTGGCTCTTGCTTTCATATATTACAGGTTATTGACATTTATGAATATATAATTTCAAAGCAGAAGTTTGCATGGTTTATCACAACAACCTATTGATAATTTTTTTTTTTTTTTTTTTTTGCATGTTTTTCATCGTCATACTTTTTTCACATACAGGTGGTAGCCTTTAGCTACATTAGGCAATGATATTAATCCTATTAGTCTAAGATAATATCTGTTGACGGCACTAACTTGAAACATATATATACATAAGGTGTAGGGAGGTAGATTTTAATAGGGGCCCATGCATGGTTTGAATTATACAGTACAGTTTACTTAACAGAATTCCAATATTATAACCACAATCAAATTATACCCTAAATAACAGTGTATCTGTGCTTGTTAACAACCTTTGGAAAACTGATTTGATTAAACTAGTTGATTTTATTCAGTTTTTCATTGAATTCTTGTTTCCTCTTATTGTATTTCATGCAAATTGAGATGAACATTTGATATAAGAAATAAACACTACTGAAAATTTCAATTTACACTATACATTAGATATCAATTCAGCTATAAAAGGTGAAAATGTTAAATTTGCAACTACTGTCTCATCAGTGCATATTTGTAAAATCATCTGAAACAGCAAAAAGAAAGCGTTTTCCACATCCTTGAAATTTGGAAGATCTTTTAAGTACTCATGCATGCATGTATTAGCATATGTTAATAGGAAGTTGTTGAATAAATGCTTATCTGTGTAAAAGTGATTTTTATAGAATCCCCAAAAAGAATTAACTGCACTATAATGGTCATTCCAGAACCTGGCCAGCCTGGACACCAAGGTAGAGGAGCAGGACTCCAGGACGGTCAGTATGTTCCAGCTGACTTGCTGGCCGAGTGGACATAAGGTGCCCACCTCCAATTCTGCTCTACTAGACCTTCTTAACATGGTTGAACAAAGTCAACTGAAGAACGCAGCCAGGAGGGGTCCAATCTGCGTCATGTCCAAGTATGGATTACATTTTCTCTCATGTATTTTAAAATTTAACTGAATGAATTCAAAGCAGACCCTCAACCTTGATAATTGAAAAAGTGGGTTTTTATTCATTTTTAAAGGAAATCTGAGAAAATTTGTTTTGCATAATATTTATATATCATTGTGAGTTATTAAATGGATAATTTTATTTACCATAATGTGATGAGACAAACACATTGCAAACTCAAATACACATGCACGCACGCAAGCATGCACAGACACACATACACACATGCACCATTCCATGAAAAATGTGTTTGATAAAAACTGTATTAATATCTCACATAATAAAGATGTATATAATATTGGAATAATATAATCCCTCTTTCCAGGAATGGTGTGAGTCGCTGTGGTGTGTTCTGTGCAATTAGCATGGCGTGCGAGAAACTGAAGGCTGAAGGAGAAGTCGACATTTTTAAGGCAGTAAAAACTGTCAAGATGAATCGCCCTCAGCTGGTAGAGAATTTGGTAAGCAATATTTGTTTATGAAAACATTTTTATACAACTTTTATTAAAATTTCCAAATTTGTTTTAATGAATAATGGAATCAATTTAAATTTAAACATGAGATAAAAATTACAGTGGGAAAGTTAAAGAAGAGAATATTACTTTCTTTGCTTAGGTAAAAAGTATCACTAATAGATGGACCAAAGATTTGGATTGAATTGTTTATGATTTCAGTTTTGAAAAAGCTTGGAAGAATTAAAAATGGAAATATGTGATAAAATAAAGAGTTCAAATAATCTGTATATATATTAAAATGCATTTATTTACTTATTTTTAAAGTATTTTTGTGTACAGACACTGTTTTATTTATTTGACATTAAGCATCTATGTCAGCACATTTTTTCTTTAATTGGAAAAAGTTGTAACCAAGCAGAAATTCATAATATGATCTTGGAAATGCTGTGCAACTCCTGTCGGCATTCAGTTTGGTATAAGTTTACAAAGGAATCTGATTTAGTAAAATATACATGATATCATTTTACTTGACTGTGATATGTAATCTTCACAATGAATTATGCTGCAATTAAAAAATTACCATAGATCCTCACAGGAGACAATAAGTATAATGCAGGAATACCATTTTCTTGCCTTAATATCAAATCTTATGAAAACTTTTGATGACACATTTCTCCTTTATTTGTCATATACTTAATATTGAGTTATTTCATCTTCATCGTTGCTATCAGTCTTTTATGTTAAGTTTTGGACCTAATTGTATGCATTGTGTCTAAATAGGACATTTTCCTTTCTTGTCACTGACTTTCTGTAAAAACTGACTTTCACTCTGTTCCCTCCCTTTCTTGCAGGAAGAGCTTTATTTCTGTTACAGTTTCATGACGGATGCATTGGAATATGACCTCACTTCTTGTTAAGGTCTCCAATGTCAAAGGTGACTTAACACAGATCACTGCATGGCTCATTTATTAAGTTACTTATCAACTACTGCTGGTATAACAATTTAGCATTTTGGTTCAGGGTGTTACTAGTATGTGCGTATTGTTCCACATTTTTTTAAACAAATTTTCAACAATAAAAATTTGGCATCCAAGATGTTGGCTCAATATAAGGTGGAGAAGAATTTCAAAACATAGGATGGTCTTTTAGTATTTATTTGACTTATTTACGACTCAAATTGAAATACCCAGTCTTTAAAACAACATCCTTTATCTGTCTTCCCAACCTAGATTTGAACTTTGATTTCCAATGTGGATTTGGTGGCATTTTATTAGTGATATCAAGTAGAAGATGTAACATAAGTATATTGACTTAAGAATATACAAAAAGTTTATGTGTATAAATTGCACAAGTGTAGAAATTTCTTAATGATCCAGCTATTTCTGTTCTACTTTATTTCAAATTTGGTGTAATCAGTCAACAAAGACCTCATGGCATCAACTACTTAGTCTTTGTCATGGAGTGCACTGATTTAAATAGATGAATATTTCATAAACACCATTTTACCTGTAAGCTAGGTCACCCTGATTGTGAATAAACACTGCAAAAGTTTTAAGTTTTGTTGTTAAACATCTTTATGAAAATTGTGCACAAGTTTTTATCTGGAAGATATGATATGAACAATAGTCAGTGATCAAATGTTTTTTTTTTTACATTATTGATTCTCTTTAGTTTGTGAGACTGACTACAATCCAGGCAACACGTGGCTAGGCATCTAATATAGGTTATTCTCTGTCATTTAACCCATGATATTTTTTATTTCTTTTAACAAGAAGACTTTGATAATGAATATATTTGAAAGTTTAATATTAAGGGTGTTCAAAATATGTGCAATTTACATGTATCAAACACATTAAGAGGTGTCAGTATTTACATTAAAGCTCTTTACTTAAGAAACATCACCCTCATTATGCTCTTTAACCTTCACAAATTTATTAAACGCACCTTGTAGGTATAAATAACATTTTACTTAAGTACATATATGTTAAAAAGATTAAATTGGCTGTTAAAAATTGACTTGAACACAAGTCAGTTCATTTACATTAAATGTGAATTTTAATAACGTAGAAAAAACAACAACTATTGGGGCTAACTGTTTGCCACAGATTGCTTGTGTAAAGTGAGCAAAGGTTGTATATTACTAATGAAATGCTTATTGGATTTAATACGCAGGTAGCAATACTAACATTTTGTTTATAAATGTACAGTGCATAGTGTATGTGATCTACCACAGGTACATTGGATTTGTTTTTCTTTTCCAGCATACTTGTATGTTTGAAGCTGTATATATCAAATTGAAATCATAATGCATTGCTTCTTTGTAAATAACTTGGAACTGGTGACATATTGGCATGAATAATAAGGGGAAATGGGTTTTAGGATGGAGTGGCATATTAATATTATGCAACGTATATAGTAATTGTATTTTTATGTTATCATATATTTATATTAAAATATCATGTTCTAAAAATACAATTTACATTTACCAGAATGAAATTTGATGAAAAAATAATGAAATGTATTTTTAAAATACCATAGCCAGACTAATCTTCAGTAGGAATCATACTTTCTCAATGATTTCATATTTTCATATTGTTCCTTTAAGATATGATTGAACTTGTTAATTTTTAAAAGAAGTAATAATTAACACTTATGCAATTTCCACTTCAGGTGGAATATATCTACTGCTACACATTTATGGTGATTCTCTTGGAAAATGTAATCGAGAGTCGAAGTGTGGAGAGACCTTTAACAGTACTTCCCTCACAAGAGAGCAGCGAACGCTCCTCCACTGCTTATGCATCGAGCTCAGGCCTGAGTAGTCAGCACCACCATCGAAAGAAAATGGGCAATGGCACCATCACCATGACAGACATTTTGGAATCTGTATCTGTCTACAGTTTTGATAATGTTGCATTTGAGAAAGAGAGTTATATAAGGACATTAAAAAGAACTTCACAGACAAGTATTGACAGTAGTTTGTTGCAAATAAATGGAGGATTAACACAAAAAGATCCCTATGTGAACTCAGACTGGCATGGTATGTCTTCCAGTAAGGGAATGGATCATTATAATACTTATGGCTACATGAATCATGCAGGAGAGATAACCATATGATCTTATGTGGCAAGGATATTCTTCATAATTATCAAATGGTGGATACACCTTCTATAGCAAATATATAAAAACCTTTTCCCTAGTGATTGCAGGATTACTCAGGATAGTACATTGTGTACTGTTCCTTTTGGGATTGTATGACAAAATCATCACATTGTTGCAGAGTTCATTCTCACTGGACAGCTTGTTCACGTGGTTTCCTGTGTGGATTTTGATTGGCCCGTCTTGCCTTAATGAAACGTCAAATTAATTCATGTGACTGTATTTGCAAGGGATTTTTTTGGCCAAAAAATACTAAAATAACTCGAGCTTGGACAAAAAAAAATTTCGTCCAAGGCCCAGTCTGTTGTTTTTTGGCGTGTAAGATGTTTTTTCATAACCATAATTTATTTATATGGGTGAATAAGTTGAGGGTATTAAAAACGTATTTTCAGCATGACATTTACATCAGTTAGCAGTGGAAGTAACTGCGCAGCCCACGCTATCGTGGAGACAATCTGTTAAGTGCAAAGAGCTATATTAAAAACCAGGGCCCAGTTTTATAAAGGGCGTTTAGCACTAACCAGTGTTTAACTCTAACCAGTGGATAAATTCTCCTAAACCCCGCAAACTAATAGACGGATGAAATTGTGTTTCATAAACAGTGTTTAAATAGTCCGTTAGTTAATTGACCTTTAAATAATTATTTTATCCAGTTTAACACTGACCAGTTATCTAATTGGCTGTTTGAACACTATATATGAAACACATTTTGACCATCCTTTAGTTAATGGGTGTTAGGAGAATTTATCCACTGGTTAGGCTTATCCACTGGTTAGTGCTAAACGTCCTTTATAAAACTGGGCCCAGGATTTTAGTTTGCCTTGGTTTTATTAGTACAGGTAGCTCTTGTAAAATCAATGCATTTTACATGCGTACAGATTTCTTGTTTACTTATAATTTGTGGGAACACAAAACGGCATCAATTTAAACTGATGCCATTTGGACACACTGTTGACTTTGTTTTTGAATATTATACTCGGCGTGCATACTAGTATTACGGCTTTTATCTGATCAAAATTCATCAGTTTACGGTAAACATTAACGCATATATTTGATACTGGAACATGCATGTCGGTCTTTCGACAATAACATTAGGAAATACTCAACCAACATCTGTATTGCGAGCATTTGATCACCACTGCTCACTTTCATATTACAGTACTTAAATGGCATAGAACGTGGTCATGAAAATGTGTTAAAGCGACTTGAATCCGGTTATAAGTATTGAAAACACTGTGATTTCCACAGCGTTTGACTAATTGGTAAAACAGCAAGTCGACGCTTCCTTGAGGGAATATTGATATGCTTTGTCTTCCACTGCTTGCAAAACCGATAATGTTACCTTACAGTTTATTTTGATGGTCGCCAAGGGAGCTGTTCTTTATCTGACGGATTATAATCGTTTAATAACCACCTGCATTGAAAGAAATTAATATTTGTTCAGATTACTGGCACCTGCAGTCAGATCGGTGATGGATTAAATTACGCACATATAATTTTAACCAAATATTAACTATCATGAATTGAAATTATTGGTGAACTTATAAGTCATACTTGAAGTATGAAAAATCTCGTGATTTCAACTCGACCTATGCATGCTATGCATCTTTTTGTACCTTTCAGTAGCTATGAAGTATAGCGGTTATATTGATGATACTATAAAAAAGACGGAACGGCAGTAGTGATCGGATCTTATATTACAGATCAATAAAGACTTGCACCATTCCATTTCACTCTTGTCATGTTCTTGGTTTGTTTATAGCATTGTCATTTTGGAGGAATACTACAGTGTCTAATCACTGTTCTGTCACGCGAGTTCTGTGTCATAACGTTATAATAGATGTTACTATGGTTTCTGTTGTGGTGTAATTTCATGAACCCAGACTGAAAAATGAGTTCCTCTGTGCGTGACAAATCGTCATTTAGCACCGCCGTTGAAATTAACTACCTTGGTGGTAGTGTAATTTTAGCCCCGGTGGTAAGACATAATTAAGGCGGAGGAAATAATTATACCTGTGGGTGAAAACTATCCAAAGTAAAATCCTTATGCTTTAAATGTTTATTTGGAAGAGCGCAAAAAAAAAAAAAAAAAAGACTGATTACAAACGGTTTTGTATTTTGATATGTTTACGCCCCTGACGAGGCCTCCGGGCCGAAACAGCCGTAGGGACTTATGTAAATTAAAATGGAGAGAACAGATTAACTTTGTTCGTTTTCTTGACTTTCTATATATATATATATATATATATATATATATATATATATATATATATATATATATATATATCCAATAAAATATCTTTTGTGATGTGATTTTGGAAAACAAAAATTGTACATGAGGTAGGCACTCAAATCAAGTGATTCAAAATCGACTTTTCTATATATATATATATATATATATATATATATATATATATGTGTGTGTGTGTGTGTGTGTGTGTGCAATGATATGGAACTGGTTTTTGAAATACATCACACTATGAAAATAGAATATTTGCATTGGATATTAAAATAATGTCAGAAGTATATAGTTGGTATGAAACCCTTCTACTGCAAACGCTAATACTAGACAACTATGTAAAATTTGCAGTAAAATCTGAACACATAAAAAAGTGAAACGAAGTCTTTTGTGATGTGATTTTGGAAAACAAAAATTGTACATGAGGTAGGCACTCAAATCAAGTGATTCAAAATCGACTTTCCTTGCAAATCCACAACGACGGACTGGGAAGGGGTACCCTAAGTGACATCAGTTGATGATATAATAAATATTCTGAAGAAAATAGGATGACAATCGTAATTTGAGCTGTGTGCGTTATTTGACAGAAGTAAAGAGGAAACTCTATACTAACATCACCTCTTCTTGATAACAGTTTTTATGAAACAGCCCATCTAACCGAAAGCGCCCGTCCAAAAGGCAAACCTCCGCCCGCCGATAGTGTCTCCAGAAGACAAACATCGTAAGCAGGAACTCCACCAGGCACACCAAGTATGCAAACTGAACGACTTCCGGGGAATGGTCTTTGCAGCTTGGTATCCAAATTAGAGGCAGCGGCAGAAGGAACATTTCCATGGTTAGTGACACCACCAGCTTTCTGCGAATGCTTTCATGCAACGCTTTGATCTGTGAAGCAACTTCAACAGATGGTATTCTCATCTATAATAATAAAAAAAAAAAACCTTTTTATAAAGTCCAGGTGCAATTATGGTCATTGTTCTTAACTGTTCGAGAAATTTCTAATGTGAGAAACCTCATGACATTAAGGCTAAACGTCATTTTCTTTCAAGTGTGATTTTCGCCTTTGCAATGAAAGAAACTTCCAATGCAAGGGAATCTAGTGGCTCAAAGAGCAGAAAATTATCGACATTAACTGGAAATTCTCAGTAAACCCGTAAAAAATACTTCAAGAGAAGGACTCCCAGGCACTTCTAATTGCAAGGGTAACACGAGTTAAACAGATATTGTGAAAATATCGTAGCCTTATCAGAGGCAATTTGCTGTAGCCATACTCGCCTGTTTTAATATCTGGGGCAACGAAGGCACTTTTAGAGGATTATTGTTGCTTTTGTTATTGAAAATCTGTGCATGCGTCAGTTATTAAACAAATGAAATCCTGACTCGTTAATTGATGCTCCAGGTAGAACGTTTGTTCTGTGCTTCCGAATAAGACAGTGCCAGAAAGTGCAGCTAAAATGGCCAATCATGGCACACCTAAATTGAATTCACATTCATCCTTGACACTCATGCTAAGATATATGAATCAAATAATTTTTTTAAAAATTCAGGGATAATTGGTAACTGTATTCTATGACAAACAAAGTCTGCCGTGTGCAAGTGAGCATGCAAAAGCATATTCTAACATTCTAATATTCTGAGAAAATTATTCAAAAAAAATATCCAAATATATATACATATATATATATATATATATATATATATATATATATATATATTTGTTTGTTTGTTTGTTTGTTTGTTTGTTTAAAAAATACAATGGGTTCAAGATACATATAACCAAGAATGTATAAAATACGTCCTTGATATAACCAAAACTGAATATAACCTAACGACAACCTACAAAACGTACGATGAAATGGACCAACCGAGATTGACAACAATGGCCAAATAAAGATCACAAACCAGTGAAAAACCACGATAAAAGCTCAGGTACAGTACACACAAAATTCCCCACAGATACACTGCAACATCTCAGCTACATCCACCCGACTTAAACAACATAATCGGGTTAACATAAAAATGAAGTAGATGCCCTGGCAGATCCAGAATTTTACAAAGGAAGAGAGGGCGCGAGTATGATAAATAATAGTAGACGAGGGCAACTTTATTGTAACATCTACGACACAGGATGGAGAACCGAATGGTTTTTACTCGTTTTGCTCCTTATACTGTTTTTGGGTAGGGGGATGGAGGTGCCCGTAAAGCTACCACCCAAAGGAGGGGGGGACACGTGTTCCACTGCTATATGTATGGGAAGACTACTTGGGATTATCATATAGAGTACAAACCTACCTCTCTCAAGGAGTTAGACGTCAGACTGAGCAGTTCTTGCCTCATGAATCCAACCTCTGGGCTCACCCATTTATTTTCCGCCACCTGGGCGAGAAGAAGTATCAGCATCATGGTTAAAAATTTGGCGAAGCAGACATCCACTGTTGTGAAGAGTTTGAAAAGACCCGTAGGGATTATCCATACCAACAAGAGTTCTTTTCCCCACGAGAGAAGGAAGAAAGAGATTGAGATGGGGCTCCAGTCAATGGGACCGTGGTACGGGGTTTCCAAAAAGTGGTGAAGAGAATTCCAGATCCCTACCAGGGCTGTGCAAAGTTGCCGCAAGTGATAGCAAAAATCTGGAAAGATATTTTAATTATGAAGGTTATATCTTTGAATGAGCCCTACATGCATCCTACATATTTATCACCCCATAATTCACACAGAAAACATTTATTTGATAACTGTGATTGAGCCGAAAGCAAGCTACCTTTCCCATTATTGCCACTTTCGACAAGAAACCGATTAACCATCACAGTTCATAACCTTTTGTTTTCGTTTACCTCATAAATGTAAGAGCCACAAAAATGGCCTGGATTGTGACCTGACTCACAATTATTTGTAGTGAGTTTGAATATTTTGTGCGCCTAGAGATAAAACATTGCAATGTGTGTTTGTCATTATTCAAAAACAGACCTCTAAAATATGCACCTGAAGATATTTGTGGAATGTCTTCCTACCTTAAAAAATCGGTTTAAGGGTTAGTATGTTTATCTATAGTATTGTTTAGCTGCCAATCAAATATGAGCGGTTGTTTTTATTTATCTGATTACATTATCTGTCTTTGGAAACCTGGCGGAAAGACATGACTTAACAAGGAGGAAGGTTTTTTGTGTATGTGTGCGCGCCATAATATAATAAAATTCAAACACGATTTAAATCAACATTTAGTTATTTCTTTTAGAAAATGGAGAGATTAGTATAGAATTTAAAACACTTTCCTTTAAATGCAATCGTGTGATTGGATTAAATTTTATAACTGAAGTATTATCTTTTTCAGGAAATTCCTCTCGCTTGACACTATCACGTAAACAAACAAACTGTTCTGATTTACTGCATACTGTTCATCTTCCCAATAATAGGCTCGTGTCAAAGATGCCATACTCGTCACGCTCTAAGTGGCTTCCTATTCATTTTCTACGAAAAGGTCGTTGTTATTTAAGAAAGTAAATTTGACCCATTTAGATTATTATTTTTTCAAGTGTACATTTACTAAATCACAAAATTTGCACTGCAAAGGCAGATCTTGATATTGCAACCAAGTCATCGAAACAGATTCTGATATATATTTGTCTAAATTTGTCATGTTGCTGATGGCAAAATGACAAACTATGTTTGATAATTAATATATTTATATCCAAATTTGTGGCGTTGATGACGGCAAAACGACGAGCTGTAATTGACTACCATAAAGACAATGGCAATACGGCTACAATGCACATCCAAACTAAATCATCTGTAAAAAAAAAAATAAAAAAAAACTCTTGACTCGATAATTGGTGAGTTTGATAAGGCGGTTTCTTAGCAACGTCTAACTTGTTGAGTCACTTTGAAGATTTTCAGCGTTAATTGCTACTACGAATATCTAACAGGTCAATCCTTATCTTTGTTTCTTGAAATTGTGCGAAATATGTTGTTACAGTAATGGCTTTTTTGTTTGTTTTGTTTTGTTTTCACCTACCTGAGTGAAGTAAGCGACGACAACGTGTCTTCAGAAACGTAACAGTGGGAAAATCAGTGATAATAGAATGCATTCTGTTTTAAGCAATCTGTCTACATTTCTTTGCAAAACTGCAAAGAGCAACATTTCTCTGAGGAATGGACTACGAAAAAGTGATTGGCTTGTTTTCACGTTTTGCTATCCAATCCCATTGTGTCAAACACCCGGAAAAAGTCGATTACCTTTATGGACACCACTCATTTTGCTGCTACGGGATAGATAAGGGTAGCATGTCGTCAGCATCTTCTTCTCAACAACTTCCTTTAAGTCGTCTGCGACGTCTGCTCTTTCCATTTCCTCCAAAATATCCAGGAGTTTTCCTAACAAAGAGTCCCTTCTAGTGCTCCAGTGTTTGATTATTGCTAAAGTAATCGAGTCGGTGCTTCTGTTTGCAAGTATGGTCAACCTGGCGATTTCCGCGTTACTGAAGCCGATTTTTTCAGCTAACAAACGGTAATCATTTTGAAAAAGTTGTTGGGAATCAAGCTGCATAAGTACTTTGCTCAGGTCAACCTGCGGAACAGTTGAAATAACATGGCGCATTTGAATATCCCGAATTTCTCTCCTCGTGCCCATTCTTTCCTCGCACGCAATACCACGCACAGAGTTCAGGATACCGCCCTGTCCCCCCCGCGTTACGCTCGTGCGTGCTGTCGCCGCGAGAAGAGCTACCTTCACCTTTTACGACCACAGCGGCCGAAATTCATCGAAAACTTGACTATCGGTAGCGTAATGACTTACAAAACAAGTTGTTTAAGCGTGACCTTCGTGTTGAATGTTCTGTCAACATTGTGAGCTTTACTTTATCTCTAGGCTGAAAGGTAGTTCTTTTCCGCTTTCCTTTTATCAGCTCAGGTGAGGTGATAGGGACACGCCGGTGGCCAAGCGCAGGGTCAAGTATTCAATCATTTGCTCTTCATTGCGGATTTAATCAGTTTATATACTGTTCTTATCATCATAAATTAAAATTTGGCAATTATATACAGAGAAATGCCTGCTGTGGAAGCATCTTCCGTATTGAATGGTTGACCTATGATTATTTGGTCTTCTGGTCTGGAATGGCAAATGGGAAGGCAAACTAGCTTACAAAACTTCAGTGTAACTGTTACGATACTCAGAAGGTGAATGTCATGTAAGTGTGTGTGTGTATGTGTGTACGTGCGTGAGCGCGCGCGCGCGTGTCTGTTATATGTAATAACGGCCTATGTAAACTTACTATATTTTCAGATTGTATTTCATGTATTCAAAATCTCACCCGGGGAATGTCAAATAAGTGCGTCTTCATTCCGTTTGCCCTCTACCAGGTTTACAGATGGATTTTTCACTAGATATTCACAAATAATCTTTCTATGGCTAATTCATGAAATTTTTTCTTCTGTAAACGAGCCCTCAGTTGGCCTGTAGGATATTGTTTATTCTATGCATTCTAAGAGTCCGAGCGAGTCTCAGTCTCCCCCCCCCCCTTTTCTTTTGGAGGGGAGGAGTGAAGGATTTATTACCATATTACATTTGAAATAGGATGCCACCGCTTCCTGGATCACCCGATATCCTTTTAACACACTTATAGTATGAAGAAGAGGAAGAGGTTTATTTTTCTAAGTGTGTGATTCTCCTTTTCTTTGCCAGCCGGTTTGAAGTACTTGTAAAATGGAACGAGCAGATAGGTTATACCATCCGATCCTTTAATAGCGAATTGATTTATGAGGCGTTTGTGATTTCCTCAAAAGAAAAAAATTGAAAAAAACCTTCAAAAGGGGCTGAAATACAACTATTACATAGATATTATCTTTTCATCGTGTTTATATGACAGATTACTTTTTTATTCTAGGTTTGATATCAGGCGTTCAATCAGCCAGGATTGTGACATTGTAAGTAAACAAAATAATTGCGACCTTGGTCTGTGTGAAGAAAAAAAATCAATTTTCTCGAGTCGTAAACATTTTACTTTATTGTGCTGAAGGAAAAGGCAGGGATAGTTCAATGGAATTTCGCTCAATACCACTTCATGATATTGTTTTTGACATGATGTTGTTCCTGGCAGTTTTGATTCTATAGCTTTCGTAACTTGCAGTATATGAACATGTGATCAATTAAAAAATACAGCCAAAAATAAATAAATATATAAATAAATTTAAATAAAATTACACGATCGAAGCTCCGCCTGAAATCTATAAAAAGCTGATCAAGTGGTATATGCAACTCAGTTTCCCTCTACACACTTGCATGCTGCTCTACACTGATGCTCATAAATTAAGCAACGCATCGGTTTTTCTAAGATTCTTTTATCATAGTCATTATTTCAGTTGTTAGTGAAATAATGCATATTTCTTTTATGTTTATAAACAACTTGTTCAAGATGAATGTTTATTAATGAAATACACCACACAGCTTATTGTAAAAATCAAAATGACTTTATGAACAAAATGGTACCAAAATATGCCATACCATGTGGATACAAAGTATGCTCACACATGCAAAAAGTGCGTGCTAATTAAAACAGCTTATCATAAAAAAGCAAACTTCAATCATCTCAGAATTGGTTCTGATAAAAGTAGGCTGTAGATTACAGATGATTAATCGTCTATTATGCAATCAATATCGGGTGTGCCCTCCCTGGTTTTTAACAACAATTTCACGTCGTCTCCTGCAACTTGCTGCCGAATTCTGTAAATCTTGCACTGGGAACCGGTTCCGTTACTCAGTTACTGCCCTTTGGAGCTCTCTAATGTTTCCCCATGGAGGTTGTTTCTTATTTACTGCTTTGTAAATCATATCGCAAGCATTGAGATCTGGCGAGTATGCAGGCCAATCCATACTGGGTCTACAATACTGTTGCAGCGCGTCTTGAACGACCCGCGCTTTATGGATGGGCGCATTATTCTTCACCAAATTGATGTTCCTCCCTGGATTTGCCTGAATGTATGGTTGAACGCGCCCCAACAGGATTTTGTGTCTGTATCGTTGACCAGTGAACCTCACTTGAATGACACAGTGGCATACACCAAATTGAATCTGCTCTCGTCAGGCCACATGAACCCTCGCCAAGTCATAAAATTCCAATATTCTCGATGTCTGACCCACGCCAGTCTTGTCTGGTCTGCTTGTGTCTGTTGGTCAACAGCGGCTTTAAGAGGTCTTCGCGATGGAAATCCAGCTTCTAAAAGATGCCTGTTGACTGTTTGCTTACTAAATCGAGCGTGGTTGAATCGTAATCAGTTCGTGAAGTTCTTAACAGATTCGTATATATTCGTAGTCAGTTCTTGATCAATCACGAACTGATTACGATTCAACCACGAATCCTGAAATTTGTCAATTCCTGGCGATTCGTGGGATTCGTGGTCTGTGTGAAATAGGGGCATTAGACAGGCCCCAACAATGTAGCTTTGAATAACGATCAGGGTATTGTGAAAACGGCCAAATTCTTTAAATTAAGATACAACTGGTTCAAAATATTCTATATAATTGTTCCTGTCAAATTTTGACACTGTTGTCACTGCATAGGCATTTTTTCTATAACACTTTGCGGCGACCATGGCGTCCATGAGAATTTAATGACATGCGCCAAAAAAAAAAATTTACAGTCATTATTACTTATTCACTCTAACCCATAATAAGTGCGTGAAGGGAAAACTGCATATCACGAAAATAAAGGCCATTTAATGAAATGACGCACATACAAAACCTTTCTCATATAATACATGCTGTAATGACTGACGTATATTTTCTCAGAAACATGCTCAAAACAAAATATAATTTATTGTTACTGTGCCGGCCAACATTAATGACAGGAAGAATATGACAAGGTCAATAACAAAGAAATCATTGTACAAAAAAAAAAAAAGATTTCCTTTTGACACAAAACAACCGGATTTTATTTGGTTTTTGTATTTCATGTCTAACATTTGGCATGTCACAGGCATAAGTCTTTAAAATGGAAATCATTGAAATAATGCCATCACGCCATCTCGCCCGAAGCTTCCCAATAGCCCCAAGTACAACGATGCAAAAACTGATTCAGAAACGCGTCTAAACACCATTTCGAATGAAAATTGCTCTTATTATAGGGTAACGCAACGCAACCTATATCCGTTTAAGGGAGTTATAACCTACATCTTTAAACTTTGTTTTTTAATGAATGAGTTATACTGATATAAGTTAAGCGTTTTGTTTGTTACGTTAATGTTAGACTGGTATCAATAACCAGTGATGAAATATCAATAATAACAATATACTGGCATTAAATTTGCGATTTGAAAGCACTCCAAGCTTGGTTAAACGTTTAGCTATTCATTAACAAAGTATTTTTCATGCCGATATTTATGGGAATTTAATAATCGATACAGTTTGTTAGTCCATGTTGATAAGAGAACAACAATTTTGATGTATTTGGAGGGCGACCCAGAGACATTTTTTCTAAACTAAAATTCCCTTGCGCCACTTGCTTTCATTACTTTTATTTCTCATTTTTATTAGTTTTGACATGATGACAGACAATATTCAATGCAGACGGGGTTTTAAAATCATGGAACTGCCCCTGAAAATAATCATTACACCTTATCTTCCAAGTCCATAATGGAGACGTCAAGTGGCCATGCAGTTTTTTTAACCTGTGCAGACCTATTAAACACGTGGGTAATGTCACTACCTTTTTGCATCTGTGACAGTTCGTAACCCGTTGTTGTCATAGGCCCTATATAATTGTTCCTGTCAAATTTTGACACCGTTGTCACTGCATAGGCATTTTTTCTATAACACTTGGTCTTCGTTAAACAACAGACCTCTTGGCACCCTCGTCTAAAATTAGAGTTATATATGAGATATACTATTGGCTTAGCGTTTGTGCTGCCTATTGCTAGTAGCGTCACTGCAATATACCACGTCTGACTGACATTTGTTGTCTGAGAATGATTACAAATAAGTTGGACAATATAGTAAGGTGCAATTAGGCATACGTTTACCGCTGTTGTTATAATGAGCATTTTCACGATTTTCACCTTGGCTCTGGGAACAGGGTTGTTGGTCCTTTGAACCATTCTGTGTCCCCTCCCTGTTCTCCAAATATATTTTGCGATTTTTGTAAAACTGGCACTAATAATAGCTGAAGGGATGCCAAACGTCAAAATGACCATCACCGTAAAGTAAACAGCGCCGTTGGACACCGACGGGAACCCTTGGACGCACAGATTGTCTTTAGATGATGTAAAATACAGCAAGGCCAGTGGGACAAGAAAGGCAAGAAACCAGCTTCCCGTGACCATTCTTTTGGCCGTGCCCCTTGTCACCTTAAAACTCAGCGGATAAATGATCGTATAAAATCTGTCAATACTGATGCAAACAAAGACGAACATTGACGTTCCAAGTAGAGCATGACTAGCATATGTGACCGCTTTGCACAATGCCAGACCAAACGTCCACCTGCCAACTACCACGCCGCCAAACACGAACGGTGTCCAGGCTCCGGCAAGGACTAAATCTGAACAAGCGAGAGACACCACAAAGTAATTGGTCGTCGATTGCATTCGCCGGCTCCTGTAGATCACAACACAAACCAAAGCGTTTTCGATGATTGAACAAAGCCATAGGATTGTCATCACGGAAGCTTGTAAAATGACGACCTCTTTACCTGGGACATCGATGACGTCTGACTCGTTAGAAATTGCCATCCCTAGGGTTTAGTAAACTCATGCTATTCCTAAACGACCTGCAAGTCTGCAAATCTGGAATAAATCAATTTCGTTCTCGTTACAGAACCAT